GCATAAGGAAGACCATTTATTTACGTATCCTTGGCCTGTTGTATTTTACTACTGCCTACAAGAGAAACGCACTCTGGGCACATTGAAGACGGATAGCCAGCCCTCTTGCATCTTCATTCCTATCTGCTCAGATGTAGCAGTCCAAAGAGATAAATGGACTACAAGAAAGGGATTTTATGGTAAATGCAAACAAATTCTATTTTCTCTATTGTCCATTGAGGGACAGAGCTTTGATGATAATTAAGCAACCCAGGGATGTCCAAAAGCAGTCCAAACAGAAAGGTGGGCACACCAAAACAAAGACAAGTGAACCAGCCCAAGAGAGAAATCAAAATGGAAACCGTTGGCATCACACAGTGGCATGCAGACTTTTTCTGCTGAGGTAGACACGTCAGCCTTAAAGAACGTACAATATGTACAGAAGAAAAGGTCATAACCTTACAGATCTGAGACAGAGGGCTGATGACAAAGAGCCCAGCGAGCACTCACTGACCCCATGGAGCGAGCTTTATTGGGACAATGGAGGCACTTTATGAGACAGTTCATTGACCTGCAAAACAACTTGTCAAATCCACTTCGAAATAGTGAACCTGGAAGTCCGAGAACCTCTTTTAGGACCTTCTAGAATAAGAAACAGGGAATCCATCTGCCTAAAAGACGCTGTGTCCAAGGGGTAACCCCTGATGGCTGTCACAACCCTCAGGCAATGGAGCGAGAGATCTCCGAGTGGTGAGTCAATGTTGGACAGAGAGGAGGCAGAGATCACTTTGGGTAATATGAAGGTCCTTGCTCTACAACAACCGTGTCCTTATGTGAGATGAAATGGGGCTTCTTACAGGACCACATTGATAGCCCAGAAACCATTCTGACCGAAGTGATGGCCACAAATAAATCTACCTTAAGAAGTAAGTTTTAATGTTTCCACAACCATGTCCTCAGAGCATTCGTCTCTTCTCATTGGATGGGAAGTGATGTCCATGAAAGTCTCCTTTAAATTTAACCCCTTCGTGACGGGAGACGTACACTGTACGTCCAGCCACAAAGGGACCAAATCGTGACGAGTTATTTGCTGCACTAGAAGGCTGCTAACGGCTGAGAATCAGCGGTTACCTTTCAGTAATGGATGTCTAACTATCTAGAGATCCATTACTGAAAGGGTTAACCTTTTTCAGACACCCGATACCTTAATATCGGGTGTCTGAGAGTCACAGCAAAGCGGACACACATGTCGGCTTTTGCCGGCATTCTGACAGCTCGTATAGAGGATGGAAGTGGCAGAACCTGAACCTGAGTCTGGACCATACGATGGATTGGGTACTGTGGTGAGATTCAGCCTGTGATTGATTCTTGTGACCTGTGAAGTGTATGGTTTAGCTTTGTTCTGTTTTCTTTGTCCTTTCAAATCCTCCTTAACCCCTTCCCAACCGCCCTCTGTAAAATAAAGTCCTTGTGGCAAAAACCCCGTACCAGGAGGGCAATAGTATTCACAGCTGCAGCACCGTTCAGAGATCATACCGATCGCCAGGAGAGAATTGCAGACTGTGCGGGGAGACCTGGAAGATTTCATCATTAACCACTCTCATCATCAATCAAATCCTGTGCACGGTTAACCCTTTTCCTGCCACGGGGCTGAGACTGAACCCGGAAATGTTCAGAGCTGAGCACTTCTTGGTTCAGGGCAAATATCCGGGTGTGCAAGCAAACTCTCGGTCCTCCATCTGTTTATACCAGTGGCAGGGGAGACATCACAGGGTGTGACATGGACATTTCTTATGAACTGTCTGGTGGAGGAATCCTTTATGGATCCAGAAGAAGAGTCTGCAGTGGTGATCCCACCATGAGAGGACTGTCAGGGACCAGCCGGCGGGGCCACACCTGCAACGAGTGGTCCTGCTCACCCAGAAATGGCGCGGGCCTCGAATGGTAGACTTAGGTGAGTGTATATTTCTTTATATATGGGAAGAAAGAGAAAAAAAACAGCAACA